ACTAAACAGAATAGATGAGTGCCATACCCAGTATTTATACATTCCCCTTGTCCTCCTGTGAAGTCATTTGAATTAAGGCATTTGACAGAACATTCTTTTCAAAACATGATTCAGAGTTTGACATTCTGTTGGTAGGTGAGGACTTTGTTCTGAAGGAGTAATGTGCAATCCTCCTGACCCCCACATCAGCTGAGCACTGAGGAAAAATTACCTACATTGCACTCATGAGAAGGAGCATCCCAAGAGCCAGGCATGGTAGAGAAGCATGACAGCAGGAAAGCTTTATAATCAGACAGAAGTTTGCTGCCACATAAAGATGCAGTTACTGGTTTCTTCATTGTGTTTAGCAGCCTGAATTTCTCTTTTGTGTAGCTTGTTTCATTCTTGTGGTTGTACTGCAGTGCCAACAGCACATGTAAATGTGAACGGGCTAAATATGCATGAGAGGAGGTGTTTGGTTCTTCCATTTGCTTTGCCTTTTTTCGTTTAACTGTTACACAGATTGTATCTAGGCACTAAGAGTGCCATAAACCAGTTCATTATATCAGTGGTTTGGGTAAACACAGATCTCTGTGATGTGTATGTTGATGCTATTGGTTTTAACTGTGCATGAATTAACACAGTAAATCCTGATAAGTACATGGTCTTATTTGTGATTCAGTTAGAACAAAACTAATCTTCTGCCACCTTTCAGAGTGAAGTCATTCCTGGAACACTTTCTAGTAGTACACATTCATTTAACATAAATATTCTAATAAGTTTAATTTCTCATTCTATCCCAGTATTTTCAAGATATACTGAGCTAAGTTTTAGAACCAGATTTGATAAAGGATGAGTGGAAATGATCATGAAAATTATCCTGTTTTTTCCTGGTTTTTCTGTAAGCACACACTGCAAAGTGCATGGGGGAAATCATAATTGTTAAGAACTGCTCTGCAATGACTTTACTTAGCCAGAGCTTTCTATGGCAGCTAACACCCAGATGCCAAAACCCCTGCAAATCAGCATTGACTTTGTGCCTGAATGAAGGGATGAGTAATTCCAGACCTGTAAAAGAAATGGAGAGCATAGCTGAAGGTAAAACAAGACAAATTAGCAACAGGGGTTGATAAAGAAAGGGGGATTTCATCAAGAGATCTGTACAGTTTGTAACCTGTAACTTTAGCTGTAGCAGACACTAAGCTGCTTAGGTCACCCTCTGGTAGCTGTTGGAGAGACTGAGCCAGCAGTTCTGTCTTTTAGAGCAGTGGGTTGCGCTTGCTCTGCTCTCTGGATCACAGTGGGCAAGGATCCTTGAGAGTTTAGGGAGCTAAGTGGGGAAAAACAACTGATGTTAGTTTTGTATCTGGGAATAGCTGTGTTGATCCATAGACACATCTGACTCATTGGTAACCACTGGGACTCAAATTTGGCAAGGGATCTTTAAAGGAACTCTGAAAGTTTCCAGATCCCCATGTTAAATAGGAGCTATTTCTGAGCAGTTAAGTACCATTTAAGATGGTTGAAAGGTGTTTGCTTGCACCCAAATGCCAAAAAGTTTTGGAAAGGAGAGAAGGTACATTTTAGAAAAGGGTTAGATTGAGTCTGGCATTACTCAGATGCAAAGACTGGGGTTGAAGATGCAATGGGGCATAAATCATTGAGAAGTGGTGCCCAGACTGTGGCCTCATTAAAGATCCCTCCTGCTGCTGTGTGCCCTGTCCTCACATTTGTGCAATAAGCCTCTAATATAATGGAGTAAGTGCTGAGTGCCATGATTTGCTCTCATTTCAAAAGTGAAAATTTTGATTTGTATTGGGTTTATTCTGAAAAAGAACAAATGGCCACTGAGTTAAATGCAACTGTGTTGTATCAAGTGTTCACTTTCAGTAGAAAACCATCAGATCCCATGTCTCAAAATCCTCAGGTAGATTTTTTTCTTTCAAGATACTTAAGAGTGATGTAGTGCCATTTCACTTCTCAAAAATGTGTGTCAAGCTGAACTAAGAGCAGTCCTGTGTCCTTAGGAATGTGATGATTTTGTGTCACTGAGCAAGTGTTAGTATTTAGCATTTGACTATTACCATCTTTTTCACTTGGAAACCTCTAGACTTGATCAAACTGTTGTAGTTATAGTGAAGGCACTAATGCTTCTTCGTGTTGCCAGCAGATGTTGATGAATGCACATCCAACCCCTGCTCTAATGGAGACTGTGTCAACACACCTGGCTCCTACTACTGCAAGTGTCATGCAGGTTTCCAGAGAACTCCTGCCAAGCAAGCTTGCATTGGTAAGGCAATTGCTCCACATCTGCACGGGAGATGTTTATGGAGCTTTGCAGCGCCACAGTCCCTAGTACATACAGGACTGTGCAGACATTGCAGATGTCTTGCATCAGGTTCCATTTGAGGTCAAAAATAGCAATGCAATTTCAGTAAATCCCAACGACTGATAAATTCATTGGAGTTTGAGTTTTGGGCTACACTTCCCTTTGTCCTGTTGTTGTCTTTTCATGTTTACCCTTTGTTCTGGAATATGTGTCACCTGGCCATGGAATTTCCCAGGCAGGAGTTCTAAAATAAAAGTAGAAAGACATTTGAATGTGTGAGTAGGGTTTTAAGAGTATCCATGAAGCAATTGCTGAGCATCACAAAATGCAGCATTTATTATACAAGTCTCTAAAATAGTATTTTCCCTATCTCTGATGCAATGGGATTAAATTCTTAACTGACTTTGGAATTTTTTCTAAGTAATATTTAAATAACATGCCAGTATTTTTCAAAGCAAGAATTGTTACTAAATGTATTTTTATTTTACAGTAGGTCTCTGACTTTGTAGGAGGGTTGTTTGTTTGTTTGTTTGTTTTCCCCCATAGATATTGATGAATGTGTTCAGAATGGTGTTCTGTGTAAGAACGGACGGTGTGTAAACACTGATGGAAGCTTCCAGTGTATTTGCAATGCTGGGTTTGAACTGACCACAAATGGAAAACACTGTGTGGGTAAGAACTCTTCTAAAGGAAGGGGCAGGCATTAGCCTGGTGATTCTAGAAATTGTACTTCATAATACAGGTAAGGCTCATTAAGGATTACCTTTTTTGAAACAAGGTGTGACCTGAGGTGAACTTAGAGGCCTTCCATTCCAATAGTTATTGTACAGAACTATGAGATTTCCAAGAAAATTTGAGATCACAGAATCACAGAATATCCTGAGTTGGAAGGCACTCATGAGGATCCTCAGTCCAACTCCTGCCCTGCACAGGACACCCCTGAGAATCAAATCCTGTGGCTGAGAGCATTGGCCAAACACTCCTGGAGCTCTGTCAGCCTTGGGGCCATGACCACTGCCCTGGGAGCTGTTCCAGTGTCCATATGTGCTCTGGGGGGAGAGCCTTTTCCTGATATCCAGCCTAAACCTCCCCTGACACAACTTCAGGCCATTCCCTCAGGTCCTGTCACTGTTGCCAGAGAGCAGAGGTCAGTGCTATGCCTCCACTGCCCCTTGTGAAGAATTTGTGTACTGTGATGAGATAATTTTTGGTTTTGATGCCACATCTCTCCTCAAGAGTTTCAGGAATTAAATTTTTTCCTGAAGTTTCATATCAAGTACTCCATATACCAGCACTGCTGAAGAAATACCTGTTTTTAATTTTGGCTCTGCTGTGCTTCAAAAACCTTCCTATATAAACAACAAGCTTAATACTCTCAGGTGATTGAAGCTTTTTACCCTTTCATGCGTGAAAGAAAGACACACCCTGTTCTTTCATGCACAGTCTGCTGAAATATGGAAAGTTACTGATCACAACAGGAAAAATAATTTGCTGCTTTGTCTCTAGAATGAAAACTCTTTAGATACTTACCAGAGTTATGGTGGGAAATCAGTCTTCATGTGAGGGAATATGCCCCACACTCTGAGTGTTTATTTTTACTGTATGATCTTTGGCAAGGTGAAAAACTAAAAGCAGTTTTCTTTGCAATATTTTGTAGACCATGATGAGTGTGCCACTACAAACATGTGTTTAAATGGGATGTGCATAAATGAAGATGGGAGTTTTAAATGCATCTGTAAGCCAGGATTTGTTCTGGCCCCAAATGGACGTTACTGTGCTGGTATGTAGCACTGTGGGGTAACCTGCTGAGACAATATTAGTTGAAAGTGGCTATTCCTGTCCATTCATTCATGCAGGAATGGCTTATCACATGGATTCAACATCATATTAATACCTCAGTCATTCATTACAGTGGATTTCTAGAGTAGGAAGAGAATGGGGTTTCTAGGGCAAACACTTGAGATGTTGCACTTGCGACACAGCATTGCAAGCTTTTTATAGCAAGGTCACTGAAAACTTATATCAAATATTTTAAGAATAGAGTCTGATTTAGCTTCAGTTGAAGTAAACTAATTGAAGGTAACTCTTGCTGCCTGTAGAGGAAGGTTTGAGCTTGAGTCATTTCCAGTAGGGTGCAAAATCATCAAAATTGTTATTTTCTGGTTTGAAGTTGAACCATTTCGGTTAGTTGTTATTCTTAATGGCAGGCAGCTGTAGCTGTACTTAGAAATTGATCGCCACTTAAAAGTTCTTTGAAATGAAAATTAAACATTATAAGAATACTCTATGATTAGTGCTCCTTAACCATGCTCTAAAGCAAAGTTGTCATGGGATGGACAAAGGATAAAATTTATCATTAGAATCATAGAATCAATTACTTTTTCTTAATGTAGAATATGCAGTCCTTCTAATCCCACAGTTGTACTGGTGTTTTGGGGTGGTTTTGGTTTTTTTGCTAATGTGCAGCTGGAATTTTGGTTATTCCAAGATCAAATTCTCATTAGACACAAAACAAGGATTTCATGATGATTCATCTGCTGTTGTAAAGTCATTTGATAATGTTCTGAAAATATTAACTGTAATCTTGCTTAAAAATAGCTCATAGATCATTGAATTGTCTTGCCTCCTCCTAGATATTGATGAATGTCAGACATCAGGAATTTGCATGAATGGTCATTGCATAAACACTGAAGGATCATTTCGGTGTGATTGTCCACCTGGCTTGGTTGTGGGAGTTGATGGTCGTGTGTGTGTAGGTAAGTGAGATTTATTTTTTTCCTCATAGAAATGCAGGTGGAATTATCAGGTTAGTTAATTACCAACTGAAATGAATCAAATGACATCCTTCTAAATAGTGTTGACACCAAACTCCTCCTGGCATCTCTTTGTTTTTGAGGCATACTGGTGAATAATGTTTTGCCATAGAATCTGAACTGCAGCCTCTTATCCTCTCAAATGTTACTGGTTGACAGTTAGGAGATGCTTCACCCAGATCTACCAGGAGCTCTAGCATAGTGACAGGGAGCTCATGGGAGAAAAATGGATTATTTTCAAGCTGATGAATGATTAAAAAGTATAGAGTGCAAGACATATTCAATCCCTTGTTTTCTCTAGATTGCTGATGAAGAGGGTGGAGGGGAACATGCATTTTACAGAAATCTGAGAGTGATGGTACTGCATGTCCTAGGGACTGTGATCCTGCAAAGTTCCTTAAACAAATTTGACCCACAGGAGTTACCATCTTTTTTCCTTCTGCATATCAGAACACCAGTTCTGTATCCCCTAAATTTCTCCTCTCCCAGCCCATGCATGTGTCGATCACTAGGCATGTTGGTACCAGAGGTTCAGTTAGTGGGTGGACATGGCATTCAACAGCCTAATGTACCAGGAATGGGGCCGCCTTGAGTGGGAAGTGCAGCTCTGTCAGCACAACAGCAAGTGAAGCTTCACTTGTGGTACATGGCCTTGTGTGCTGGATGCTGCTGGTTACTGGATGCCATTGGAGCTGGTACTGGGTCAGGCCACCTGCTCATGTTGTGGTGTTTCATAGAATCATGAAGCATTGGCTTAGCTATTCAGTAGTCATATATATTAATCAGTGCTATGACTGTTCTTGCTCACGGATGCGTGTGTGTCATATTTGCCTTGGTCTTACCTTTATGTGTCCAGATACAGGGAAGACAGACTGCATCAGAGTCATTTCAGGTTATCTTGCACCAAAAGGAAGTGAGATATTGCATCCTTGTGTTGCCATTATTAATTAATTTAAAATAACATTTTCAGTTGTGCAAAAGTTCAAAATTTTTAAAATAAAATCTAGTGCAAGTCTTTCTACAGAGTGCCAGCACAAGCTAGCCCCTTCTGTTACCACTTCAGTTTTAAAAATGCATGATGAAAACTGAGAATAGCTAAAAAATTGGCTCAAAAAATGTAAAACACCTTCTTGGTCTCTCAGTGGAACCAAAATAGTTGTTGTTTTAAATAAATTAGATGCTCTAGTAAGCAAAACTGTACTACATATTGAACCAACAAAAGCAGGTTCTGTTCCTTCCTATGTAGTAGATGAGTTGTTTACTTATAGTTTACTTAAAGTTTGGAGAAGAACAGCAAGAAAAGTCTTGGTATACTGTTTCAAATACAGGAATTTCACTGCTTAGTGGCACACCAACAAAACCAGATTTGAGTACGAGCTGTTCAGTACCTGTTTTGTATTCCAAGTTGGCCACATCTTTACCCCTGTCAGTGATTACAGCTGCAAAGAATCAATGCAGTGCTCAATTCTCTGTGCTTTCATTTACCTAATGCTGCCACAGCTCCAGCAGCTAAAGACTTCACACATTGGCCATCAGCTGTGAACACCATTTGTTGGAAAATGTTCAGCTCCACATGTTACGTAGCTTTAAAGTTTACCATAAGTGCTTACATTTTCTGCAGGAAATAACCTCAATATGACCAAAACCAAAAGATGGTAAGGCAGAATCATGATCTAGTTGGAAAATTCATTTTAAAAAGATGATGTAATTGTTCCAAGTATAAAGCAACATAGGAAATTTCAAATACTGCGTAACAAAAATATCCTCATACATGACCTTTAGAATAGAATTTCCAAGCCAATCGACTGTTCAGAATTTTATGTGTATGTATGTGTGTTTATATATAATACACAGGAATTCTCTGTCTGGCTATTCTATCCCATATATTGCATGAGCTAAATAATACTTTTCAGACATTTTGGCTGCTAGAAGAGGAGTGTAAAAGTTAATGACCTAAACTGGGCATCTCTTTAACAGTATTCCCACAAGATATGGGTAATTAGCGAGGAGTATAAAATTAAACAGGCCACAGTCCAATTGTCTCGTTCTCTCTGAGCTGTATTTTACTAATGAATAATGACATTGATTCTGGTTGGTGTATTCACAGAAAAAAACTGGTGGTTTATTTAGTATTTATAAGTATAGCAGAGTCAATCACAAAGTGTTACACAAGTTTGAAAAGAAAATGCAGCAAGAGGGAACAAATGCTTGGAAAAGGAACAGTTACAGGATCACAGAACAGTTAATTAAACAGTTGGAGCCAAGCTAGTATTTGCAGGCATTTCAGGTTTGGCTGTACGTCCAGCTGCAGCTCCATGCGTGGATACCTCAGCTGGCTCTGTGTGTGTGTGTGTCACCTCAGAACTCATACTGACCCGTGGCTGTGGCTTCACTCAGTGTTGTTTGTTCTCTGCTGAGACACTTCTAATTGAAATTCAGTCATTTGTTCACATCTCTGCCCAGAGCTATATAGGACAAAGTAACTAAGCTTTAATTTACCCTGGTAGTTTTGCAGAACCACACCTCAAAGCACCTGTCATAAGCATTGCATGACTTGAACTTCTAAGGCTCCTGGATGGCTGTGGTGACTTTCACTGAGTATAGGCCAGCCCCTGGTCCATCCGACATTGACCTCAAGTATGGTGACAATAACTTTTGTGGATGTTGAAGTACTACACGTCAAACTTTAAGAGTCTACATAGAACATCTGTAGCTTCCTCCAGCTGCTCCTCACACTTCATATCTTTGGACACCTTCCTACAGAGTGTTTCTTTCACACTTTCCAGTCTTCTATCCCCCTGCGGTTTCCCTTGGTGCCATTTCCTTCCCTTGATTTGATTCTCCATTCTCTCCCAGACACACAACTAGGGGCAAGCCTTCCCTGCCGTGACAGGGCAGCAATTGAAGCACCTCTATTCACAGCAGAGCTTGTCAGAGGGGGATCTGGACTTGTCTGAGATGGATAGAAAGGATGTGAAGCAACTAATTATTTTGCAGAGTACAAGAACAGACATTTCTTGTGCCAAAGTCCTTGACTGTTGTCAGGCACAATAATTTTTTCCTGATGTCAAGTGCAAGCAAATTGTACTGGCTTCACCTAGACTCTTGGCAAGGAATAAATTCTAAAATATAGGACATACTTAGCTGTGCTCCAGAACTATCTGTTCCATGGGATACCAAAAGTAAGAGGAAACATTTATGTACAGGAAATACTACTTTAGAGGAGCCAGCTTACAACACTCAGAGAACAGACAGAACACATAAGGATTTGCCAGTTCTTATTTGGATTGGCACTGGATATTCAACAATCACTGTAAATCTTTTCATGGCACTTTTCTTTGTTGTTTTGGGGTCATGCTTTAAGAAGGTAAGTTTGGATTCCCTCAAACCCTGTTCAGTTTCTGAGTGCACTCAGGCTCACATCCAGGCCACAATGCTTGGTAGGTTTACTGGGAGATTGACAAGGAGCATAAATTAAAGTCACATTCTGTCCTGGTACATAAAGATGCTTGAAACACTGAGTGTTTCTGTAGCTCCAACAAATGTCTGTAGAATTATGGAAGACAAAAGTGAAGGCTATTTACTCCATCTGTATCTTGCAGTTCTCAGCCACACATTTAGATGGACTGTGGATGTTAAAAGACCTCTAATACTATGCTATAGGCAAATATGGTAAAGGCATTGAACCCTGGAATGATATAAACCCCCCAACAAAGCAACAAAAAACCCGAAACAAAATGCATAAAAAGCAGTCTAAGAGACATTCTCATAGTTCTTGGATAAATATACCTGCAGCAGTAGCTCTGGGGGGCTTGGAAGATGCTTCTTGCTACATCTTGCTGGTCAAGACTGTCAGATTGATTTGTATGACTAAATCAGTTCTAAGACTGGCAGTAGGCACATGGTGAGTCCTACACTTGTATGGCTGCTCTGTAGAGTTCTTTTGCTGTCTCTTTTGGCATGATTTTTGAGGTCAAAGACCTTCCAGGTGTGTGTTTTCTTTGTATGATGAATGATGGTTTGTCCTGGCCTTCATTTCCAGCCCTTTCCCCAGATTTGGCACAGTAATTTCCAGAGCTGGTTTTCAATCACAAACCTCCAGAAGTTTCTTATACTCTAGGCAGTGGTGCTGCTTTCCGCACTGTCTAGTTGTGTCTGAGATTTGCTATTTTGCCATTGATAGCTGCTTTTTGGGACCTCTTCAATGTCCTAATCCAGCACTAGTGCCAGTTTAAATATAAAACTATTAAGATAGTCATGTCGCAGAAATGCTGGTCTGAACTATCTGCTGAAATTGCACTTCTGTTTAGAGTTTGTAAATAGAACAAGAGACTTTTGGAAGTGGGTATTCACCCACATTACCAGCACTGGGCTGCTGGTGAGTTATCATACTCATAGCACCTTCCAGAATCTAAAGGGGCTCCAGGGAAACTGCCGAGGGATTCTTGGTTAGGAACTGCAGTGACAGGACGAAGGGCAATGGGAATAAATTGAAAGAGGGAAATTTAGGCTAGATATTAGGAAAAAGCTTTTTCTGTGAGGGTGGTGAGACACTGTCCCAGGTTTCCCAGGGAGGCTGTGGCTGCCCCAACCCTGGCAGTGTTCAAAGGTGTAAAATCAGGTTGGATGGAGCCTTGAGCAACCTGCTCTGGTGGGAGGTGTCCCTGCCCAGGGCAGGGGTTGGGGCTGGACAATCTCTAAGGTCCATTCTAACCCCTAAACTTCTATGATTCTATGATACTTGAGGAAGCATTTTAGAAATAGATCCCCACAGATCTGTGTGTCCAACTTACTGCTGTGGTTTTTCTCAAAGGGATAAATTAGCCACCAGATGCTGATTCAAGCCATTCTGGTTGTAGCAAGACAATGCAGATGTAGCCAGTGCAACCATTTTGTTGACCAAAAAAATAAAAATTTTAAGCTTCCATTGAGATTATATGCATACATTTCACTCTCAGCCTAAGGAAATTACTTCTTCCCTTGTCCTTTCTTAGATACTCATATGCGTAGCACATGCTATGGAGGCATCAGAAAGGGGCTGTGTGTTCGTCCTTTCCCTGGTGCTGTGACCAAGTCTGAATGCTGCTGTGCCAATCCTGACTATGGTTTTGGAGAGCCATGTCATCCCTGCCCTGCTAAAAACTCAGGTAAAGCTTAGTATTTCTTTAAATAGTGCAGCGAACATACAGACTTAAAAAAAATCTTGTTGAGATCAGGTTGTTCATCTATTTCGTGCCTTAAAGAGGAGTGAATAGGGTACATGTGGATGAAGTTGAGTCCATAATTAAGTGTTGGCTGTAAGTAATAATGTTTGAAATTGAATAAGCAGAGTTCTCCAATGAATCTGCAAATTTCCTGGTCACATCAATCGAGTCTAAAAGAGCAGCCCATGTTATATCTGGAAATCTGTATTTCATCTTATGATAATTGGTTCTTCAGATGAACCTGGGGATTCATTAAAAGAAATCTCTTGAATAGAGGGCTGAGATTACGTATCTTGGACTGCATTTCCATTCGGTGTCATTTTCTGAAGCAGCAGAAAACTACTTAGAATAGAACAAGTAAAACTGACATTATGGTTAAAAGCAGTAACTTGAGGAAACAGTAGTGTCAAGACTACAATGAAATCACCTGAGTGTTTTACTCCTGATTCTGTATGTATGTGGAAGTTCAGGATGGAATGCTGCTTTATTTAGCTGTCGTTATCTATAAAGAGTTATTTCATGTGAACAGTGGCACTTCATTAGTTACATCATAGAAAAATTACTTTGAAAAAATCAAATGGATTTAGTTTAGGGTTAAACAAGTTGAAAAAAAATTTTTAAAACTGGAAATAACATTTTCTTTTCCCAATCTTATCTGCTTCAATTGAACAGCTGAGTTCCATGGCCTGTGTAGCAGTGGAATAGGTATTACTGTCGATGGACGAGGTATGTTGCACATTTTCTTTAATATGTATGAGTCAAGGTTCAAAAATATACATGCTCAGAATTATATTTT